TTATTTATTTATTTGACAGACAGAGATCACAAGTGGACAGAGAGGCAGGCAGAGAGAGAGGAGGAAGCAGGCTCCCTGCGGAGCAGAAAGCCCGATGTGGGGCTCGATCCCAGGACGCTGGGATCATGACCTGAGCCGAAGGCAGAGGCTTTAACCCACTGAGCCACCCAGGCGCCCCTAGGACCAGGGTTTTCATCTGTCTTGGCTGTGATCTTCTACCTGGGGAGCTTCCGGGAGGCGTGAGGACTAGAGCTGAGCTTGAGGGGTGGAGGGGAAGAGACGGGCCCCAGGAGGGAGGCACCTTGGATAGAGGACCGGCCCTAGGCAAAGGCCTGGAGGTGGGACTGAGGGCAACAGATGGGGACAGAGAGAAGACGATGCTGCCGGATGAGCGTGGGTCCGGGGAACAATCTGTCCCTGCAGCTTCCACCGAGGGGGCAGACGCTGGTCCCGCCCCAGGTGTTCAGAGTCCACTTGGAGAAGGGACAAGACCAGCACAACTTAAGAGAGATTCGAACTTGGGTGGGTAAGAAGCCACCTCCTCCAGGAAGCCTTCCTTCCTTTCCAGCCACTAGAGCCCTTCCTCCCTGACTTCACGTTCTCTCCCCACCACGTAGGCCCTGCTTCCGCAGGACTTCAGACAGAGCCTGTCTCGTGATGCTCTCTGACAGCCAGGCGCCACTCTCTCCACCCTCCAGACAGGTCAGCAAACTCTGCTTCTCACCACTGCAGAGCGAAGCTGTTCCCAGCAACATTTAAAAGCCTTTCTCCACCCCACAGCTCTATCTGCACCTTCATTTCCCCAAAGCCCCAGAAAATCTCCTCCAGAATCCTAACGTGGCATCGCTTTCCCTGCACCCTCTCTCTTTCCACCGCAAGGGACCCCTCTGGCCGTCCCTTTCCTGTCCCCCTCCTTAGTGGCCAGAGGGAGGGATGAGCCTGGAGGCTCCCCTCTGGGGGCCGAGCACCACCATGGGCAGAGGTCAGAGCGGGGGCAGCAGGAGAAGTGGTGGCAGAGACCGTGGGCATCACCGCCTGCAGGGCCCAGAGCTCAGCACGCCCTGCGGCACTGCCAGTGGCTGCCCTGCTGGCCCTGCAGGACCCGGCCTGGCCTCCTGCGGGTGTCCGTCCCTGCGGCCCAGAGCTGTCTGGGGAAGGACAAAGGAGCAGTTCTCTGCGGTGGTGGGCGCCTCCGTGCCAATGGCACAGCCAGAGCCTGGGCTGCCCCTCCGCCCAGCCCTGCTAAATGGCTACAAATTGGAGGATAAAAGCTCAGGCTTTCAAGCAATTTTGTCTTCAATCTCTGGAAACTGCCGCTCCCCAGCTCCTGCATGAGGATGGAGGAGGAGAGAAGAAAGACACTGAGTCTATTGGGCCCGAGTCCTGCAGCAAACAAACATGCCCAGGGGGCCTTTCTCCTCGGATTGGATGCGCTGCGGGGAGAGACAGAGCCAGTGGGCCCAGGGCAAAAGCGGCAGCTTCTGTGGGGGGCCACCCACACCAGCAGCTGTTGTTTATTGAGCACCTACTGTGTGCCAGGCCCTGGGAGGCCGACCCACAGCCAGCTGATGAGCGGGTCCATTCCCACGGGGTATCAGAGGGACGGGGGGAGAGGAGGGGTGGCCTGGCTCATTAGGAAGGTGGGGTGGGCCTGTGTGAGGAGGTGACATTTCACTCGTTCATCTTGCAAATATTCGTGGACCCCAGCATTGGGGTGCTCCACGAGGCAGTGGGGACCAAGCCTGGGGCCCCAAGGAAGAGCCCGCAGGAGAAGCAGTGCCCTGGTTCTGGGCATATGCTGGGTGAGGGTCCCCCCAGGCTGGGATGAAGACTCCACGTTTTCAGGGCGCCATGCTGGCACAGCCCATCTTTCTACAAAAGGCCAGGTTACCCAATGTTTCCTTTGGGGGGGCCAGGGCCACAACAAGGGATGGCTGGGGCCTCTCAGGCAGGCCTCTGGAGCTCTGCCATGTGGGGCAGCCGTGGGGCTATCTGTCCTCCTCCACCCCCATCCCATGCTCAAGCTCGTGGCTGGGCTCGTGGGTGCAAAGAACCTTTCCGCCAGCACTTGCTGCGGCACCCTCTGACCTCACAGGCCGCCCACGAGGGGCACTCACATTCCCCACTCAGCAGATGCTGGAGCTGGGGCTCCAGAGGCTGGGAGGCTCACCCTCAACCCAGCAGGCAGTAGGGGCTAGGACTCCATCCCTCCATGCCACTGGGTTCTCCCCTGGGCAGCACGGGGACAGTGCTGCCTAGAAGGGGTCCTGGGACCTCAGCTCGCACGTACAAAGCATGTACTGAGCATCGGCTGTCTGTTCTCTGCTGGGCACGCATGAGGAGCCGGGAAAGTCACCCCCGCCAAGCCAGCAAGTAAGGGAGAGAAGGGAGAGGAGGCAAGGTGGGCTGTGGAACTGGCAGTCCCAATGCCCAGTTGTCCAGGCCAGGCAGGAAGCGTGTTTGGAGGGAAACTGAAACCTGGGGAAGGAGACTGCCCCAGCCTGCCCCGCGGGTCTGTGTGGAGGCTGGGACTGAGGCCAGGTATCCCACGGGAGCACCTAGCCCTCTCTCCTTCCTGCCCCAGGCGTAGCTGGCCTGGTGGCCTCCAAGGCTGTCCCCTCCCAGGCTGTCCCCTGGAGGGAGCACAGCTGGTGAGGCCAAGGCAGAGGTAAGCCTCATCAAAAGCTGGGAAGAGGCTGCTTCCTGGTGCCCTTGTCTGAGTGCCTAGATCCAACCGTACCTAAAGCCAAAACCCGGACCTTTCTGTTTCAAGAGTCACCAAACACCCTTTCCTTTGTATAGCTGCCACAAGATAGGGTTTTGCTGTGTGATGGAAAATGTCTTGTCCAGCAATAGTTGGCCCAGACCGACATCCCTCTGTCTCGGGGGCAAAAGATCATTCCTGCCGTGTGAGGCCTGTGTCTCTGATTAATAAAAAGTGGGGAAGGGAGTTAATTACTTAGTAACATAATAACTGCTTGTTTGTATTGGTTATGGGTAGGAAAGCAATCTTCCAACTCATTGGGCTCTGAGGGTAGAAAAGTCAGGAGGCTGAGGCCACCTGCCTGTGACATCCTTCCTGTCCGTGGGGTGCCACGCAGGGACCTGACCTGGCCCTCTGCTTGGCCTTAGATCTATTCACCAGGGCGCTCTGGCTGGCATTCAGCACCCTGTCCCGAGGGAAGCAGGCAGCTCGCTGTGAAATCTGGTGGGAATTTCTCAGAAGAGCACAAACATACAGGAGCACCCTCTTCTCTGGGGGGGGATCCATCGCAGACCCCGTGGACCCCGGAAGCCGAGGGCAGAGCCGCGCCCGCACACA